CTCTACGAGTGGCAACATGGCCGGTCAGCGCCTCGGCGTCTCAGCGCAGACGCTGCGAGGAACGTCTTTGATGACGCGATTCACCCTTTCGGTATGACCATCGATCTGCGGATGATCCGCTGTCGACATATCCAACTTGGTGCCTAGCACCTTAGAGATAGTCGACCAAACTTTTCCCGTGAAACGAGGGTCTCTATCAGAGACAATCGACTCTGTCAGCCCGTTCACGTAGAACGGGGTGTAGCCGGTAGACGATTGCACTGCATTGTTCAGTGCAAACTCTACGAGTGGCAACATGGCGCTCCAGCGCCTCGGCGTCTAAACGCAGACGCTGCGAATAACACCTTCGATGACGCGATTCACCCTTTCGGTTTGACCAACGGTCGGCGGATGATCCGCTGTCGACATATCCAACTTTGTGCCGAGCGCCTTAAAGATAGTCGACCAAAATCTTTCCCTGAAACGGGGGTTTCTATCGGAGACAATCGACAGTGGGAGCCCGTGTTGTCAAAAAACACGATCTACAAACGGCTTTGCTGTACCGACTCCTTCGATGGTGTCTGGCACTGCCGCCAAATGAGCCATCTTGCTCAACCGTTCGACGAATACCACGACACCCGAGTTGCCCGCCGAATCTTTCGGCAGGCCAAATACAAAGTACAAACTCATGGACTTCCAGCACCCAGTGGGTACCGGTAAGCTGGCTAGCGGCGCAGCCGCATTTGGAGAGGGTTTCACCCGTTGACACGCACAAAACCAAGCGAGGGGGGTCTATCGCAGGCTATCCCGATAATTACCCATTCAAGTATGTAATGAGGTGGTTTGTCCATTACACAGTATGTTTGGTACACACTTTGCTACTGGTCAACTTAGTGTGCACTACGCTAAGCAGTAGATGGTGATAATTAGGTACAATTACATCTTTTTCAGGTTAAGATAAGAGTAAAGATAAAATCATACTATATTGAGTCTTCATTTTGAACAAAAGAACCACACGCGGTTAGGTTAAAGGAGCGCGTACGAATGCTACGCAAGAAGACTAAGCCCCAAGGAAACGCTATCTCTGCGCAAGAGTGCATGCATCCAACTGTCTCATTACACATCGTAGCACTTTGTGGTTAATCCACCGCCGACATGGATGATGTCCAATTCCAGCTACTAGATTGACTTCCCAGCCCAACCGTCACTATCGGACCACTTTATCTGTATCCGTTCGATGTGGAATGGGCTGTCGTTGACAAGATTTCCTGATTTCTTGGTGGTGAAATTACCGTTTGATCGCTACGTCACGACCAAGATGTGGCACCTCCGCTACTTCATGGCCTAAGAAGCTGACCTTGTTGAACAAGTCTCAACAAAGGTCACAAGTTCTGTTAAGTCGGAGCTGACTATCATGTAACACATGGTGCATCGTGTTGCCCTGTCGCTCTCGACTCCACCGACCTCGGTTGTCCAAGTGAAGATAGTACCATCTACACGAAGCGTAGTCACCCTAAATCACTGAAATTTCCAATTAAGCCATTTTTGAAAATCGGGAAGAAAACCTTCACTTTTGGCCCCGCCAAGTGGATATGGCATTGGCGGTGGCGCTGGTTTACGAGGAACAGCAGGAGGGCGCGTTTGCATTTTCGCATTTACAAGATACTGCGCATGAATGGTTTCTCAACGTGTAAGATTAACCATTCTTGTTATCTCTCTCGTGAAAAATCCTCGGACAATCGACGGTAAAGATGTTTCATCCACTAAATGCGGCATTTTATCATCGCGCGATGTTTTTGAGATGTGGCCGGGGTAAACGCTTAATCTACGACTTTGTGCGAGCGTCACTGTCTGACAATTCGATTTTGGAAGACGTGATGGTAATTTTCTTATGGAGCGACTTGAGATCGGCCCACCAATGACTATATTCGCTCGTCGACAACCGACCAAACTTGAGGATGCAATCTTTGTCGCTCTTCAGCGGATCAGCTCCAGCGCCAGTCGCTCGGCTTACCCGCTGGTCCCACCCACTTGCAGCTGACGTCAAGTGGTGGTCTTGAACCCATGGCCTGTCTTCGACTGATCACCTACAGGGACCTGTTATGGCTGTAACGGATTTAAGCCACTTTGTTTGGGACTGCTTGACGAATGTTATAAGGTCCAAACCCACTGGGGGGTCACCAGTATACTCTACTCGTAGTCAAGGAGGACGGCGAGGTGCCATCCGACGTGGTGGCCATTAGGCCAGCTTCCGCAGCGGTCGAGGAGGTATATCTCTCACTGACGTCGATGTTGTTACATCTTCCGGTATGTTTACCCTGTCGTCGAGAAACGCGCAGGCCCAGTTGGCGCAGGGCGGCCTACTGGGGTATTTTCAGCGACTTATTCTGCGCTGATATTGTGCAGGGAAAATCGCTGGACCAGGGAAGTAGAGGAAGAGAGTCCTTGGCAACGGTGAAGGGGGTTTGGAAGCCCCTTCAGAGTCGTTACTTATCTAGAACGTCAGCTTATTACGCTCGAAAGCGGAGTATTGTGAAACTTCGCTACTTTTCGATGAGGTATGCGCGAAGAAAAATGGTAACATTCATGTCCGTCTTCCGATGGGTGCGCTTGTTACCTGACAGATTATCGAAGTCGATCTACGAGTCAGATTTTCGGACTTTGACTTCAAATGGACATTCTCCGTCATCGACATGGATGATCGATATGATCTAATGTTAGGGAATGCGTGTTTTGAAGACCACGATTCATGGATCGACTGGAGAACCAGACAGATTGCGAGTAGCTCACCGGGTGCAAGTCACATGTAGCACTGTCATGACCTGTTTGTGGCCATCCACCAGCGTAGCAACTTTGCAATCTGAAATAAACCCACTATGCTGGCATTTACGACATAGCTTTGAAATTACAAGTCACTAAGAAGGTGCGGCTTGAGACGCCAGTTGCGTCGAAACAAGCTATTTCTCCAGTAGAAATATCTACTGTAGAAGCCCATGCTCCAGTTGTTGATGCTACCGAGATATATATCGCTACGATGATCAAATCCATCGTGGAAACTCATTATGCTTTAGTAGCAAAAGCTACTGTGGAAGCTCTCGCTCCAATAGTGAAGTATATTGTGAAAGCCCACAATGCTCCAATAGTTAAATGTAATGTGGAAGCCAATGCCCCGATCTATGACACCACCGTGGAAGACGTTATGCTCCAGTTGGCAAATCTACCGTGGAAACAACAGCTTCAATAGCTAACTCCAATAAGGAAATACCATACCCTCCGGTTGACAGCACTACTATAACGGGGTTACACATACCCTAGTAACAGGGGGGGCATCACACCAGATGGGTATGGTGTGACCACACCCAAACCAGATACGGTACGGAGCTAGATAGCCAGTTTTTATACATGTATTTAGATTTTACTATATTTTTAGGAAAATTTATACATTTAAAATTAGGCGGCTTTGCCGCAGATAAAATAAATAAAAATTAAGTCTTGACTTTAAATCGAAGAGCTTATTAGCCTTAGTTAAGGTACTAAGTACTCTTGGTAGCGGATTGCGATCTGCTGTACTCGTTCTGGTTCTTGTGAAGAACGTAAGGTCGGTGACCTTAATTACGCTTCCTCTAAGCACAAAGCAACGGCGGCCTCGCTCCACTTGGTAACACTTGTAGTCAATCTACACCTGAGCCGTTTAGACTGATCCTCTGTGAGAAATGATGATGGAACAATTTTCTCCATGCCCCAGGGCATGCCGGACGGGCTTAACAAGCTAATGTCCTTGATGGGCCCTGAGGGTGTGCAGCACCATGCAGCACAAGGCCCTGAGGCAATCGGTGCGCGTCTAGAGACGTTTTCAAACTACGAAAATGCGCTGCTAGAGCACCTGCAGCAGAAGATGTCTGCATCATACGTCGCCGTCAGTGACGAATGATTTCCCCCGCCCGAAATCGCTCATGGTGAGCGCTTAGGCCTTTGAGGGGAAGGATGGAGAGAATCTCCTGCTCTGGGTGAGAGAGGTTGAGATGGCCATCACATCCGCCATGCTCCAGTCAG